CATATCATGTATGTGTCCTTCCTTAACTATTGTCTCATCGTAGATTGAAATGGCTTCTATGAATAATAATGTTAAATTGGTCAGCTATTTGCTTCGTAAAAACAGTGTTGTCGTCGATGCAAATGAGGAGCCGAGATCAATTCCAAGTAGGCAAAATGCAAGAAATGTTCAAAACAATACCATTGCTCGAATAAAAAATTACACGACCCGACAGAATATGTATAACTTTTTCTTCTGGTGCCAAATATCATTGTTGTTGCTCTTTTCTAGGAAATTTTGTTACTGGTCAATGTTGGGTTTCATAACCGAGCCTGTTTTTGTACTGCCTACGATTACAAGTATAGTTACGATAATAGGTATACTGGTTGTTTGTTTTACTGCATCAAAACCACCAGGTATGTCCTTGTTGTTTTACATTCTTCGTATTCAATACGATAAAAATCCACAGTTAATTCGGCTCTATTTTACCAGTATTGTGAGTTTTGGTTAAAAAAATTCAAATTGTGATAATATTTTATATCGAGATGCTTAAAGCAAACCATCCAGCGAGGATGGAATTATAAGCACTACAACTACTTCACTTTTTCATTTCAAATTAGTAGTGACGAGCGCGAACCAACCAAGATGATTATCACCAGTAGATCTGATACCTTGTCCATAAGTCGAACCTAGTGAGACTAGAAAATGACGAAAAAGGTGCAGTTGCTTACTAGGAAACCTCATCAACTGTTATTCTCAATTCGAGCTCACATTTAATTCATGAGGGTAGAGCACATAGAGTAGAGAAAAATTCTAAAGGATTAACCCCATTGTTGCTTTGTTTCAGAGCGACAGGCATAAAAAATTTCTTAAAAAAAGAGATGATTGTATTTTCTAAAAAAGTTGTTTTTTCCTTTCACAATAATCGAAGATTTTCACAAGTTGATTGCTAACCAATTCAACTTACGTATGGTCGCTTATTGCAGAAAGATCAACTTTATCATATTCAGTGTCCAACAGATGAAGGAGAGAAATTCATTGAATCATCCCTTCTATTATTTTTGGTAGTATTTTTTTCATATCTTGGAATGATAAATATGTGAAACAATAAGAGAAAATACAAGTGATTTTCTCATAGGACGTAGCGAAGGTAAACATATTTTCTCTCTGAGACACATCGTGTTTACATTTTCTAACTGTACGTTGTCCGAAGATGGGAGCAAGCAGATAATAATAGATAGAGATCTACAGGAAGGAGGCTGTCAGATGTGGCCATCATATATACCGTCGAGGAAAATTTCAATTATACCCTTTGATTTTTTTTGTTTTTTATTACTATACATTTTTATCTATTAACCTACTATATAAAGGAAGAAAACTCAGAACCCGCTGCATCTTTTAGTATATTTATATTGAGCATCAAATGCAGTTTAAAGTATAAATAGCGTATTACAAGAAAATGGACTTTTTAATTCCATGATTTCCGTAATTTTGTAACATTTTTTATGTCGCATATATCTTGGTTTAGGTACATGATAAAACTTTCAATTTTTTTTCGAAAGATGTGCCGTCAAAAGCTCTACATAACTTGTATGGACCAAATCCTATAGCGAATCGAAAAAGTTCTCGAAATTTTTTCTATATGATGGGAAGAGCATGAGAAAAACCATCAGAACAGATAAAATGGAATTCGATCATATAGCTTTTGCAGAACTTTTCACGGCACATGTTTCGAAAAAAAATTCAAGGTTTTATCATTTACCTAAGCCGAGATATATATGCGAAATAAAAAAATGTTACAACATCATGGATATCATGGAATTAAAAATGTTCTTTTTCTTCTAATACACTATTTATACTTTTAACTGCATTTGATGTTCAATGTGAATATACTAAAAGATGCAGTGCGTTCTGGGCTTTCTCCCTATATATAGTAGGTTAATAGATAAAAATGTATAGCAATAAAAAGCAAAAAAATTAAAGGGTATGATTGAAATTTTCCTTGACTATATATATTGATCCAATTATATCTTCTTTAGTTCTGCTATCATACCTGAACGCGTATACATCCTGTTTTCTAGTATATTCAGCTACATTCGTTTTCTTTCTCTTTATTCATTTATCAATCATGTATGTTCTCTCTTGCATGCTCTAGTGAGTTCTCATCTCTTTATTATATTCTAGTGAATGCTTTCCCTTTTCCACTATTTGAAATAATAACACATTGCATAAATGTGATCAGATAACACTTTTCTCTTATTAATAACTGGTTAGTGGTCGACTACCTTCACATAGTGAAGAAATAGCAAGTGCATTTCTATTGGATCATCGTCCAAATATCTCGACAATAAAAAGTGCGAAATTCTCAGAACATCGTAACAGTATTATGAAACCTGAAATCAAACGAATTATTCAGTGATTCATGATCTTCAATCAGTTCTAGGATGCGGATGTGAATGTCAATGTTTCTGTCCTCTATACCGAAGCATCCACAGTGGGCAACACGCAATCCATACCTATATCCCAGATTTTTAACCAGTGACAAAATACACCTAGTTCAAAAGAGGTTTTTTGAAATATAATCCAGATCCATTTAAAAATATCATGGGTGTTGATTTCGTATTTCAAACAGATTAATGTTATGAAAAAGAGCTCTATCGACAGACCGATAATGCACTGTTCTTTGTTCAACAGATCTGTGCTTCATTCATTTTTTTTTTGAATTATCATTATCATTAGATTAATTCATTATTTCCTTGATCTTTTATTTCATTTTCTGTATCATCTTTATTTTCTTACTAAATGAAAATATAGCTAACATTCTTCTGTTTTTACATAACAAGTAACAAGAAGTAGAATGAGTTTGGAAAAAAATCAGTTCCTGAAAATGTTCCTTTATTGAGATAAGTTATGACTCCAGACAATGAGCAAAATATGAGCTCAAACAGAATGAATTAGTTGATGAAGTTCACACATTAGTGTTTTCTTTCTGAATTATACCTGTTATACTGATATTTTCCTATAGATCACAGTGTACACTAATAAGTCAAATGATGGTATTTTGACCTGATATTTTGCTCTCATATATGTTTCATAGTTATTAAAATACCATAAAGTTTCTAGGGAGCGCATGCATGTCTCTTGTAGGATAACAATGAAAAATATTCATGATGTAATTAGAAGATTGTTGCAATGCAACCCTACTGGCATTGTTTTGATTTCGAAATGACTCGCAATTTTTGTCATTATAGTATATTTGTGGCTAATAACATGTCATCAAAGAATCTATAAGATAGAGATGATAGTAACTCTGATCATGTAGTAAGAGCCAGCCCGTAGTCCTTATGTAAATCGTATTATTTGCAATGTCTGTTGTTTCTCAGTTACCGTGTGGGTCTTCAAAGTGTTCTCTAGTAAATGACAGAAAGTGCATGATGAATAATCTGAGTAATGAATTTCGCAAGACTCGATGAGGTTCAAATAAAAAGCGTTGGTACCCATCAATATTTGGCTATAATCATCCCACAATATCGTTAAGAATATGGCCAGAATCATATAAATCTGATACAACCCACTAACGACTATCGAATCAGAGAAATGGATTCATCTTTATTTTTTTGTTCTTCTGTTATCTAGTCGCAAAATGTCAACTCAACTTCAAACCAACAACCCCAAATCCAGTTGACTATAAGTCTGGTCCACGATCTGTCGCCATCGGTGACTTCAACAATGATACTTGGCCAGATATTGCTATAGCTAATTATGCTGCTGACCATATAGCTATATATTTTGGATATGGCAATAGGACTGCGGCAAGACCAATCACATATGCGACTGGTTCCGGCTCTGCTCCGTACATGGTCGCCGTTAACGATTTTAACAACGATGATCGACTGGATATTGCAATCGCAAACTTTGGCACAAACAACATCGGTATACTTCTTGGCTTCGGAAATGGATATTTTGCAAGCCAAAAAACCTTTTCAACTGGTTCCTCTCGTCCCGTTTGGATCCACGTAACTGATCTCAACAATGACACAACATTAGATATTATCACTGCTAACCATGGCACACACAGCGTAAGCTTATTTTATGGATATAGAAATGGAAGCTTTTCAAACCCAAGCACGTACTCTACGGGTTATGATTCTTTCCCGTTTGCGGTTGTCAGTGGTGATTTCAACAACGACAAACAGATGGATCTTGCTATCGCCAATTATGGCACCAACAACGTTGGTATAATGTTTGGAACTGGTAACAACACTTTTGCAAATCAAATCACGTTCTCAACTGGTCCTAATTCCCATCCATACTCGATTGCTGTTGGTCATTTAAACGACGACAACACGCTAGATATTGCGGTCACCAACAATGGAAATAACAGTGTCGGTGTTTTTCTGGGTCACAGCAACGGAACTTTTATGAGCCAAACGACATATACCCTCAACGCTACTTCTCCATATTCTATTGGCATCGGTGACTTCAATAAGGACAACCGAATGGATTTAGTCGTCACCAATAATGGCACTAACAATATTGCTGTGTTTCTCGGATATGGCAACGGCACCTTTGTAAGCCCAAAAATGTATTCCACTGGATCTTCTTCTTCGATCTTCGTTGCCATAGATGATTTCAACAGAGACGATCGTTTAGATATTTTCGTCATCAATAATGACACGAACAGCATAGATATCCTGCTTGGATATGATGAAGGCTTTCCAATTCAAGCAAAATATGCAACTGACACCTTTTCGTACTTTGTAGTTGTTGCTGATTTTAATAACGACGCCCTACCGGATATTGCAGTTACTAATCGTAATGATAACACTGTAAGTATACTTCTCGGATATATCAATGGCTCTTTTGCAACACAAGTAAAATATTCCACTGGCACTGAACCACATTTTGTAGCTGTTGGTGATCTTAATAACGACACTCGACTGGATATGATTGCCACTAATTTTCGGAGCCACACTATAAGTGTATTTCTCGGATATGGTGATGGCTCTTTTGCGAATCAAATGACATATTCGACTGGTGCTTATCCGTATGGTTTAGCTGTTAGTGACTTTAACAACGACACCCGATTGGATATCATCGTCGCTAATTATTATGATAACACTGTAAGCGTACTTCTCGGTTATGGCAATGGTTCTTTTGCAAATCGAATGGCATATTCAGCTGGCATTACTCCATTCAATGTAGCTGTTGGTGACTTTAACAACGACACTCTATTTGACATTGTCGTCACTAATACCGATAGCAACACTGTAAGTGTACTTCTAGGATATGGTAACGGCTCTTTTGCAAATCGAGTAGCATATTCAACTGGCACCTATCCAGGATTTGTAGTTGTGGCTGATTTTAACAATGATACTAATTTAGATATCATCATCACTAATGGTGAAGACAACACAATAAGTGTACTTCTCGGATATGGTGATGGCTCTTTTGCAATGCAAACAACATATTCAACTGGCGACGGGCCAAATGGTTTAGCTGTTGGCGATTTCAATAACGACACTCGACTAGATATTGTTGTAAGTAATTCTGGAAATAATACCATAGGTGTATTTCTCGGATATGGTAACGGTTCTTTTGCAAGTCAAAATACATATTCAACCAGTACTTATCCATTCGGTTTAGCTGTTAATGATTTTAACAACGATACCCGACCGGATATCGTCGTCACTAATAGTATTGATGGTACTGTTAGTATTCTGCTCCGTTATGACAGAGGAGCTATGAAAAACGAAATTACATTTACGCCTAGTGCTGGTGCTCATTTGGCATGCGTTGCCATTTCTGATTTCAATGGCGATAGTCTATTGGATATCATCGTTGCTAATTATGGTAGTAATAACCTAGGTGTCAGTCTTGAATATGAAAATGGTACTTTTGGAAACGAAATGATATTCTCAACTGGATTAAAATCTCATCCTTATTCAATTACAATTAATGACTTCAATAAAGACGGTCAAGTGGATATTGCAGTGGCCAATCATGGTACTAAAAGTCTTAGTACATTTCTGGGAAAGGGAAACGGAACGTTTGAAAGTCAAACAAATTATAGCACTAGTTTCGATTTTGCTCCATTGGCTGTCGGTGTTGGTGATTTCAATAGTGATGGACATTCGGAAATTGTTGTTGCATATGATGATACTGACAATTTGGATGTGTTTATTATATATGACATCGGAGATTTTTCTCGTCGAACGACATATTCAACTGATCCTTGGCCAACTTCTGTAGCTCTTGGTGATTTTAATAACGATACTCGACTGGATTTCGTTGTCACTACTGAGTATTACGAAAATGTAGCTGTATATCTTGGATATGGTAATGGCTCTTTTGCAAATCAAATGACATATCTGGCTGGCAATTATCCAACCTCTGTGGCTGTTGGTGATTTTAATAACGATGCCCGATCGGATCTTGTCATCACTAATTATTTGGACAACACTGTAAGTGTACTTCTTGGATATGGCAATGGCTCGTTTGCAACACAAAAAACATTTTCAGCTGGCTATTATCCATCTTTTGTAGCGATTGGTGATTTTAATAACGACAGTCGACTAGATATCGTCGTCGCTAATTTGGATAGCAGCAATTCTGTAAGTCTATTCCTAGGACATGGCAATGGCTCTTTTGCAAGTCAAGTGAATTATTCAACTGGTTCTCGGTCATTCTCGGTAGCTGTTGGTGATTTTAATAATGACATCCGACTGGATATCGTTGTCGCTAATTTTGATAGCAACTCTATAAGTGTACTACTAGGATATGGCAATAGCTCTTTTGCAAGACAAGTGAAATACTCCACTGGCACTGCACCAAAGTGTGTGGCTGTCGGTGATGTTAACAACGACAGCTGGCTGGATATCATCGTCACGAATCGCGATAACAACACTGTAAGTGTACTTCTCGGATATGGTAATGGCTCTTTTGCAAGTCAGATGACATATTCAACCGGTAATTTGCCACTCAATGTAGCAATTGGTGATTTAAATAATGATACTCGACTGGATATTGTTACCAATAATTATCGTGGCAACACTGTAAGTGTGCTTCTAGGATATGGCAATGGTTTTTTTGCAAATCAAATGACATATTCAATTGGCACTACTCCATATGATATAGCTCTTGGTGATTTGAATAATGACGGTCGACTGGATATTGTCTCCCCTAATGCAAACGGCGAAAGTATAAGCGTACTGCTAGGATATTCCAATCAATTTTTTGTAAAACAAACGACGCTCATAACTGGCAAAAGATCTCGACCAATGTCATTTGCTACTGGCTATTTTAACAGTGATAATCAACTGGATATAGCAGTCGTGAATTCAGGTACTAACACCATGGGCGTTTTTTTGGGATATGGTAATGGATCTTTCGCAAATCAAATGGTATTTTCAACTGGCTCCACTCCAGTGTCTATTGCTGTTGGCGATTTCAACAATGATACCATATTGGATACTGTCGTCGCTAATTCTGGCAATGGTACTGTTGGAGTTTTTCTTGGATGTGGTAATGGCTCTTTCTCAAGCCAAAAGACGTTTACGACGGGCTTCGAATCTTTACCCTGCATGGTTACTGTTGGTGATTTCAACAACGACACTTTATTAGACATTATCGTCGCCAATTATGGCACTAACAATGTAGGTGTGCTGATTGGATATGGTAATGGTTCCTTCGCTGACGTAAAAGTTTTTTCGACCGATTATGGATCTCGTCCATTCTCGGTTTCTGTTGATGATTTTAACAATGATGGAAAGCTAGATTTCGCAGTCGCTAACAAGGGTGCTGACAATTTAAAAATTTTCTTACAGACTTGTTAATATTGCAACTGCTAACTTACGTTTTTTTTCTTCTATTTACTGTTTCTAACTTTTACTTAGTGCTATCAATATTTCTTGTAAGTTTTTTATTATTTATCTCTCGATTTATATATTCATATAAACTATGAGTGAGCGTTCAGAGGTGAAACAAAATGTGATGCGTTCTCATCTTGCTTGAAAGTCCCATGAGATAGTTTTGACTTCATATCTATTTTATGTTAATTCACGAAAATAGAATACTCAAATAGTTAGTGAGATAGGTATGAAATGAGATGTCTTTGAATAGCCACCGTGATTTAGATTTATGCGAATGTTACGTACGGAAAAGAGTGATTAGCAATGCAGCGAAATAAGCAACAAGAATAATATCGTTCGTATACCTATGAAACAAGAAAGAAAGTTTGTTTGTTTCTATTCAAAAGAAAAAAACGGATCAATCTTGAAATGAAATGAGATAGAAAAAAGGAGAGTAACTGTACGATAAATATGAAAATAAAAAAACTACCATGGTCTAGATTTTTTTTGTCGCCTACGAGAATCATGAGATTGCAAATAATTCTATACGATTTTGAAAAAAATATCGGAATCAGAATCTATTCTGTTATATGTCTACAAGTGAAGTGTACTACAACTTAAGTCTCAGAGAATAATTCGTCACTTGCACCAAATATGTCTATTTAACTCGCTACCAGTAATCGACACCGGAAACAGACGAACTCACAAGGTATTCTCAATGGAACTCATCGTTCATCGCTTTCTCATTTATCGATTCAATCGAAGTTCTCTTAGAAAGTTTGATTAAAATGCAGATCTAAAGATTATAATTTCTACGTAAAGTGCTCTTTCATTCAGAAACGCTTGTACAAGTCGATCTATTGATGATTGATTTTAAATGTGAGTGCGATAAAGGTGCAGCGACGATGGCGATAGTTGTCAATGTTGTCTCTTTACGACCGATCATCTTAAACTGCATGTAGTCGATACATACTACATGAAATCGACTCTTAAATATCGTCATCATACATTCACCATTACGTTTTAATAGTCTAAATATTCTTCTCCTCTTTACGCGGCTATGGTCTACTGGCTATATGGAAAGCAAACATAACATATATAATTTATCAAAAGGTAAAAGAGATCCCAGACAAAAAAGATCAACTTGACCCATCATTAAAATGAATCGTAGCTAAAATAAGAATATTCCTGATTTGTCATATGAAAAATACCAGTGGACTTGGTAGAATCGAGCGCACCTAACACATAAAATGAATGACTTCACGAAACATACGTATAAAACTTGAAAACTTGATTCAATTGAAAAGAAAAATTTTACATTGAATATTCAACTATTTAAATTCAATTTCTATGTTCCTGTTCATACGATAAGATTCAAATTTTTCTACTTACTTCACATCTTGAAGTTGAAATTCAAAAGTCAAACTTCGTATGGACATTTAACTTTCAAGTTATTGTTGTCAATCAAGTATTTCATGAAATAAATCCTAATGAGTTCTCGTCTTATGCACTCAAATCTAAATTATTAGTGAATCCACAATCATATGAGTCTACACGAAGAATTGTTTTTCTCACAATTGAATATGCAGATGTCAGATGTTCTCACAAACACTGCAAGAGTTCATTTGCTGTCGATGTTAGCTGTAAGCATGATATTACACATAGTCCACACGAATAGAAAGTATCTCACACTGAATATCCACTGTGGACCCACTCAATACAATACATTCTTCACTATTGCAACATTGATCGGATGAGGCTGTAGATATGGTTAATAGAAATAACTAGTGAGAAAGCAAGAAAATATTTGTAGAGGAAGCTCAGCCTCAGCTTGAAGCTGAAAAACTGGTATTTGTTTCACCTATTATATGGGATCGTCTCGTTTCTAGAGACAGTTCGAAGAATTCTTGGGTGAGGATGGAAGCTGAAAATTTTCTGTTGAAGGCTGAGCCTCTTCATTCGCGTCAGGCTCGGTCACTTTCAGTAACCAGTAAAATATGGAGCCACTCTTTTCATCAAACAATAAATCACTTAACATCAATGAAGTATTTCAAGTGTCTCAATGATATTCTGATGATTATTCCTTGAAGAATAAATCAACAAATAATGCACTACCATATTTCATGTTCTATTTCATTTTTATAGAAGTAAATGAAAACCACAAAGTTTTATTAGATATTATTCTTTTCATTTGAAATCTTGTGAATATCAATTTGTCATCTTCATATGAATACACCTTTAACCCTTTGGGTCCGGACGACGAGAATTCTCGTCCTGGAGTTTTGTACACTGAATACCTTTAATAAGCGTGATCTTTTGGTTATTTAATGCTATGAATTGTATGAATATTTGTGTTTAGAATATTCGTGCGGCTAAGATCATTTATACTTGCCGATGTTTATTGGTTGTCCTTTAATATTTCAGACAATCAGTATACCATTTAATGAGTTAATACGTGGATCAGTTTGCTAACACTTCTCGAGAAAGAACTGCTGCTCTCAAAAAGATATATCCTATTATAAAAGTCGTTCAGGCATGATATCTTTAAGAAATATTCTGATCGAACAATCGCATTTGATGAATAATGTAGAGTGCATTTTTTCATATAAAAGGTCACCAGGTTGTGGGTGTGGACATGAGAGAAGAAGAGATACTCACACCCACACCCACCCTATCCATGTCAAGAATAGGCTCACAAAAACATAAAATATTATTCTTGTATAAAAAAATGTGTTTGTTTTCTTTTTTTTTTGTTGTTGGCTTGTTTAAATACAAATATAATAAAATTCAAGCTCGTTCATTTCTGCTTAATCATCTTTTTGTTTACTCGAATGAACTTATATTTATTCTTTTCTATTTAGTTCTTTATTTTCTATTAATACAAGATAAAATAGTTCTTTTATAATTTTATTTAATATTTGTTTTTTTTTTATTTCTAGAAATTTTAACATAAAAATATCGATAAAAATGAAATACTATAACCTTGATCAAAAAGTAATTCTTATTGTGAATGTATATGCAGATAAATTATTTAGAATACTGAAGAAATATTTGAATTTCTTGATATTTTTTTAATATTCATATGAAAAATAAATACGAATGTCAGAGAGAAAAATTGATTGTTCTAGTTCACTGAACTTTTTTAAGTAGAAAATTTTTAATTATGAAGAACGACAGTGTAAGAAAAAGCTTTTTTCAATCTCAGTTGATTAACTTGTTTTTTCGAATAAAAGAAAGTATGAATTGAAGAAAAGTGAAAAGAATTCAATAGATGTTGATTATTTTCGAGAGGGCTTGATCATACTTGTTTTTTAATAATGAAAATTTTATTATTCAATTCAAGACGGTAAGTATCAACCATTACGCATTACGTTGAATTTTTTTTTCTGTTATTATCTAGGATGAAAATAATCAATTACTTTTGCAAATGCCAGTAAATGATTATATTAATGAAAAAGATGGGTAACTTCAAAAGATCTCATCATACGGATTTTTTTATTGTAAAAACATGTTTTTTCTATGTAGATCTTTAAAAGATATTCGTGAATTTATAATTAGATGTAGGAAATGAAATTTATCAACTTACGACGAAAATAGACAGATGGATAAAAATAAAGAAAAAGAATTACGGCAACAATAAAAGTAATATTAATCAATCAAGAAAAGTAAGAGTAACGGATATCAATATTTAATTTTTGTTGTTTTTTCTTTTAGAAATCATAGTCAACGAAACATTTCATTATCATTGTCATAGAATAAATATTATTTATGTAAATTAAATTTTTTTTATTTGCATAAAATTTAAACAAAAATTTAGTTTAGTTTAGAAAAGTGAATAATAATTAGATCTTAACATTGTTTCTCCGATAAGAATAATTCGATCAACTTTTTACCTATTGAAAGAAATTTTTAACAGAAAAGCTCGTATTTCTATTTCTGTGAGCATTTAGAATAATTTTCAGATGACATTGCGTCGATATCAGTCCCTTGAACGGAAGAAGAAAAAGCGCGACTCCAGTGATACTCTAATGGTATTTCATCGGTACTTCGATGTATTCCAATGTTATTCCACTGCTACTCAAAAAAAATTGGAGTACGAATGAAGTACCATTAGAATACCATTGGAGTACGTACTCTTGGAGTCGCGCTTTTTCTTCCTTGCTTGAACGTCATATGGAAAATCGGCATCATAAATTTTGCATATAAGAACAATAAAAAATCAAAAATATTTTTTTCTTAAAAATTTTAGTTGAATAGCTGTTAATATATTTTCAATACTATTATATCCATAACGACAAAGATGAAATCCTAATGGCCAATAAGGTGGTATAATTGGTTTTTAGAAGAACAAATTTAATTAGAATATCTAATTCATATCGTCTTACACCGAAAATATCCCAATCTATATATATACATAAGTTCAGTGTCTGTGTGCGCATGTTTATGCCGGGTTAAAGGTTAAGTAAGGATATGAGGAGAAGTCGCCATGGGCTATTATATGAGAGTACCCATAAGTTCCCAAGGACTATCCTACAAGTATAGTCATAGACCCTTAACAGCTATTATCTTGGGATACTCACAGGTCTTTAAGGACTCTCCTATGGAGATATTCATAGATCCTGAAAGGGCATTCTATGGAATAGCCATAGGCCCTTCAGGGTAATTATATTCGAGTACGGATAAGTTCTCAAATGCCGCTCTATGGAGATGCTCATAGGTCTTCAAGAGCCTTTGTATGGATGCGGGTGTGCGATTGGAAAGAAGGTCATCATCCGCACACATACCCAGACCCACCCCAACTAGTTTTTTTTGTGTAAGAAACATTCTCTATTTTCACATCATCTCATGAGGTTTTCCTTTTTCACATAAATGAACACGATACAGCGACTGTGTAAGTATGAGAAGCCAGCGGAAAATAAATTCAATTTCTATGACTCAATTGGATGATACATTGATGTCTCACTTTTTTTTTCAATCAAACAATTGAATGTTTAGTAATTCACTCCAATTCATTGATAAAAGTTCATATGCATATCCAGATAAACTGGAAAGACCATTATTAATAAAAATTATTTCGGCCCATTCAAGTGAATGTTCATGACAATCAATATGCAATACTGATGGTTCAATATTAATAGAGTATTTTATTCGAAGATTTAATAAATCAAAACCAGTCTGAGTTAAAATAAGTCATTAAAAACAGGTTTTTTTTATTCATTTTTCTTCATATTTAAGCTGAATGTGTCAACTTATAGTAAAAGATTTATCAAATGAAGGTTGTTAATGAATACAAATATATTCTGAAACGTCACGTGTCGAAGCAGATGACGATCACAACGATTTTATCGACTCGATGGATTGTTGCCAACAGTGGTCATTGTCTTTCGAGATCTAGGATGAATTTGATGAGATGAACAACGAACAGAATTACACCGGTCAATAGGGTTGTTCGTTTTAATTATTAACCTAATGTAAATGATAAAAGTTTTTTATTTCGAATATCTTATGAAAGAAAAATATCTATTCTCGTCTTTTCAAGGGTGTGAGTATGTGTTGCTCTTCTTTTTACACATACCCACACCCAATAACTGTTTCGACTTTAAATAGTGCTGACGTAGTCAAAGCTTTAGCTGCCATGCATGAACCAAATGAAATGTTAGGATTAGTTGATATTAACAGAATTGATCTTCAAAAAACATCTCGATATGAAAATCATATATCAATTTGAACTCACAACAAATAACTAAGAAGAAAAGAATGACCAGTGAACAACAAAATAATTGGACTAGAACCTTTCGTTTTAAATTTATTGTAATCATCAGCTTGCAAATATAATAAATATAGATATGAACTATTTCATGTTTTTTTTTTCCGGAATAGTTGAGCTGTAGTATATGTTATCATAAGAAAAATTATGTATATCTAATGCTGCATTCAAATAAATAAGAGCATCATCAAAGTTTTTCATTTATCTACAGATACTGGCTAAAATTTCATATAAACGAGTTAAATGTAACGAATCTATTTCTCGTCTATATTTTAATGTTTGATTCAAATATTCTAGAGCAATACTTAATTCATTTTTATCATAATATAAATTTTTGAGATTAGCATATATTGTTGCACAATAAATATTTTTGATTTAATATTATATTGTATACATCATGCAATATACTTGTGCATATGATCAATATCCTTTTCCAATTATTAATTGAATTGTAGTATGGTACTTGTTCGATATGTCGGAATTTTCTCATGACGAAAGGAAAGAAGAGTAATTAGATGAATTGAACAAAAAAAAACAGATACATATAATCAATCAATATACTTATAGTTAAATAGTTGATGCATACAATGCATTCACACTATGAAATCTTAAAAACAAAATTTGCAAGAATTCATAAGAACGAAGAAAATTCTGGCATGACTCATTTTGTGTAAGATTTGATTTCTTTTTATTTCTTTTCAAATACTATTGCAAATAGAAGAAGCTCAATCAATTTTATATGCTTGAATAAAATAAAGATTATTCATGTTTTAGTAATTGAAAATTTCACATTGTCACAAATACAATAGTCTTTATCAATAGGTGAATTGCTGTTTGACTTAACAATAAATGTAATAAACATTCGAACACTACGAACATCCAAAGGAACTATGTCTGACATTTCAATAGATTCCATTTCAGTTCCAGAAACAGATCCTAAAAATACAAAATAAAAATTAAACAAGAAAGACAAGAGATTCTTTACCTGAAGAGACGACTGGATATCGTAAACCATTAAAATCTATAAAATATAACTCGATGATAACATATTGACTTCCAAAACATTGAATATCAGCCGATGCATGATAACGAGCAAGACCAGTAGAAATCAATAAAGAGAAACGTTCAAGTATAATAGTTTGAACTGCATATACAACTTTTCTTGAATTGTAGAACGATATCACTCGAAAATAACATTCACCTAATGTTTTTGTCAAATTTCGAGTACTATATGCAAATACTTTCATTTCTCCAGTATTAGAAACATCCCATCCGGACGAAAAATTGCTACCATTTGCTGTACACTAACAAAAAAAAGACTATTTATAAGTAAGATTTGATTTTTTTTATATAGTTTTCTATAATTTAATAGAAGATAGTATCAAGAGATCTATTAGGATAGTAAACAGTTCCAGGATCAACTACACTTTCTATATTAAGTTGTACAGAAAAATGTTTTGAAATATTCTCATACGTACATAGTTGTAGATAAATTAAATATTGTTTCGAACTTACGGTTATTTCCATTTTTGCATCTTATAGGAAGTGTACAAATATCTGTATATATATATAATATTCAGTGTGTATGTGTGTCTGTCTCTTTGTGCCGGGTCAAAGGTCAAATAAGGCTACAAGGGGGTAAGGCTATAAGGGAGAAACACTATATGGTGGAGACGCTCTAACGGGTTAAGCTACAAGAGCTATAAGAAATATGAGACCGTAAGGCTATATGGGCTACTAGCAATATAAGGATATCACGCCATAGGACTTTTATGTACATAATGTCGAGTGTTTGTGTCTATTACCGAGTGAAAGGTTAAAGTTTGAGGTCGTACGTTAAAGGAAAAAACGTTGCAGTATGCATGGGTTCTCGCTAGTGTACATATATTTACCTGATCAGTTCTAATGTCGATTCAAAACGAAACAAAATTTGTTACAAACCTTCATACCTGTAAGTATATGTATAGAAAAATGAATTGCATACGTACATTTTGTTCAACATCACCATTCACAACAAGATTTTTCGTATAGATAAGCCCCCAAGTACCATTAGGTAAAATACAATTGTATAATGTTGAATTATGTAATTGTTCATTTGATATAATTGCTCCAGTTAGATTTGCATTCGTAAAATTAACATTGCCTTCTTTCCAAAGTGTACCAGTAAAAATAGATTCGACTAATGATGCTCCAGAAAAATCTATTCCAGCCAATTTTGATTTATTGAAATTAGCTTTAACTAGTGAAGCAAACTTAAACGACGAACGTATCAAAAGTGTATTGAAAAATGTTGCTTTGTACATAATTGCATTCGAAAAATTTCCACGATCAATGTAACAGTCTATAAATGATGAATTTGATAAATAAGCTTCATGTAAGTAGAGACGTAGAAATGAACATTGATTTTCCATAGTTCCTTTGAAAAAAATATCATTGAAATTAACATAATTAACTCTTAATAAAGATGAAATTGGTTTTGTAGAATGATGATAAATCAGTCCACTTTCGTAAAGAAATAAAAGTAAATGTTGTTTCCGTTCTGGATCCAATTGTCTAAGACTTGTTAATGTTTTTATTCGAATATGCACTAAATGTTGTACTTCATTTTCCATTAAAATTGCGGTAATATCATCGATATAAGTGTCAAATACAGTTTCTTGTCGTAAAATGTCCGTTTGATGGTCAGATTGTAGTCGAAAAAGTCGTGCATCTTCCTTATCCTGTTCTCGCTGTTGATCAGAGAGTTTTTGTTGTAACATAGTTGTGACTATTGTAAAAACACCAATCATTAATGGAATTAAGGCAGATAAAAAAAATTTTATCCATTCATGATAATTTGATTTTGATTGAGTTTTATAACTATTGATGTAAGTTCCTTTTATAGGACTGATTGCTATCGGATCTCTTCGAAACATTTTTGTTCTACTCTGTATTTTCCAAGATGCAAATCTTTTTATTACTTACTAAGTATTGATTTTAATATATAGTCTCTGGTTGTGTGCGTGACTTACATATAATGAATATATTTATTAAATAATATTGTGATTATATCATTAAATATTACTTCACTAGTCTAAGCACGTGGAACTTGTCATCACGAAAAAAATCGATCAATTAAGATGTGAATATAAAGAAAATAGAGAACTGCGTAGTTAAAATTACTTTGAGAATTGAGAAAGTGACCAATTTCTCTTGCTTATTATAGAACTTTTTTCCTACATACATGTTTTTCAACAGTTGAATTTTTGCTGCTAAAATCTCACTTTCCCTACGCTAAGCATAAATATATATGTCCAATCGAATTAATAAAAGCTTAGCAGAATTTATTTATCACGACTATAACTGAAAACTAGAGAGCAGAAAATATCACAATGTCATAGAAAGTACTATTCAAAAATTAGAGTCAGTGATAACAAATACGATATAGTTTCTAGATGTATCATTGGCAACATTGCATTACATTATCAACAATCATTGTACAATGTACTAAGATTCAGAAAAAGATGTGTCGTTTTTTTTTGTATATAACATAATATTAAGGATGTGGCTGCTGGTATAGCAAACAGAAGACTAACGCGCATACTCACATTCTGTTCTGTGCTTCAGAGCAGGACAGAACTCAGATATTATTTCCATAGTTTTGTAGGATAAAATTCAAAAGGATAAATAAATCAAGAGCGTATATAGCAAATAAAAAAAGTGAACATTACATATATGAGAATATTCAAGTGCTGACTTCTATATAACAAACTATAGAAGAAAAAAAAAGTTTTGTCATTTTTTATATAATTATTTTTGTATTGATTTGACGAATAAGATTTTGTTCACTTCCTGTGACTTCATGCTTGTTCGTCGTTTATTCCATTTTCACTTTCTTTTAAGTTTTTTACAATTTTAGGGTAAATTTTGGCAGAAATTGGTTTTTTAAGTACTTTTTGCTCATTTTCTGGCAGGAAATTAAATAAAAAACACTCTCTGACAATAAAATCTCGCAGAAAATCAATGATTTTAGCATTCCCTATTCGATATCTGCTAGAAAGTCATATGAAAACGCTCTTTGCATAATTTTTAGCTCTTCCCACTCCTAAAAAAATCATAAACCTTGATTATTATGAATAGATACAATCTTGGATAATATTTTTTTGCACGATTTTGTTTTGAGTATAATTCCATTATAATGTGGTCCATTGATGGGTGATTTTCGTCAAAAATATAGTAAGGGTCTATATTATATTTATACAAAATTTTGACTCTTCATGTTGAGTTATAGTGAAACTAGACATGTAACAACTTGAATGAGGGTGTGGGTATGGATGTAGATCTAAAATTCATGCACATCCACACCCTAAATATATGTGTCAGGCAAAATTAAACTAAGTCTAGGAAGATGTAGAGTTCGCGAGTTGTATTCAATACAAATTGAACTAAGCTTGGAAAGATATAGAGTTTGCTAATATATTCCACTGATATTGAGCTGATTGTAACCAGCCTGACCAAAAAAAAGAAAGGGTGTTCTTTATGGTCAGGCATCAATTCTCATCAATATCTAACTGCTTCCCTTCGAATACAGTACGGTTCATAGATAATATGCAAACAATATAGATGACGTTATTATGTTTAACAGAGTTCTATTGCATTCAACAAACTAACAAAAGACTTTAATTTATGTCTTCTCATAATGTAATAGCAACGATATTCACTCGACAATCCATACTCAATAAATATGTTAGTTTGTCTGTTTTTAAAAATAGTTCTTTGTCAAAAGAGATATAATTTTCTCATATGAATAGCTTTAAGTAACAACGAAGAGAACGATTTTCAGTAGTTGCTTAGTTCTGGTTTTCGGATATTGTCTTTAATAGCTATTCAATCTCCCAGAACTACTTCTACATCTTTATAGCTATTTACATACTTGTCACCTATTCCATTCACATTACTGATTTTTTTTCGAGCAGAGGGTAGTGAAGACGCTTATGGATTGCCACAAATCTGCTAGATAAGTATTTCTCTTATCCAAGGTAACGGTCATTAGTCGTTATACTTCGCTTGTATGACATCTTCCAAAATTTCTGACCTTCTTTTTTTTGTTTCCTCATGTGCGACTATTTCTCGATTAGTTGAATTTAATGAAGAGAAGACACAGTTTTGATTGTGCAAGACAACATTATGCTAAAAAGACATCGATACTCAATTCTACAGTTCACCACACACAGTAGAATTTTAAGATATTAATGTAAAAATAATACAACTAGTTATAAAGCCTTGTTAGCAATTTATTTCACGTTATCGATCGTATTTGTCGCGAGGTACTTTTATGATTTGTTTACAAATCTGTGGATAAAAAGGCACTGGAAACAAAGCAGAATCTGGTGTTGGATTACTTCCAAAGAGTATGAATCGGTGAGAAATGAACATAATAAGTTTATTTAAGTAAAAAAAACTAAGTGCGTTCTGTTTTCTTAATCAAAATGAAAACTTGAATTCATTTTCATGTGAAAGAAAATAATTTCTTCATTTCGCGCCGAACTACAAATCAATTTTGCCTAAGTTTAATTTTCTCATTTGATGATCAATTATGTATCGAATATCAATCGTATACGTAAAAGTTTATAGGAAAAAGGAGAAGTCTACATCGTGCGCTATAGTATGAGTGCAACAGAAAGTTAATCTTCCTAATGATCTCTCTAGACTTATGGCTGATCTTGAGTAATGCATATGCATGATTAATACCTGTTAAGACATGATCTATGACTGAACCGAGCATTTTTATACTAGGGTATCATAGGAAAGATTTTGACATACCTTTGCTATCACTAGAAATGAAAGAGCATGTAAAGAAACCTAGGGTGCGGGTGTGGGTGAGAAGTAAAATAGGAATCACACCCACACCCAGATAAAAAAAATACAAATCACATCACTTTTAAATAAGATCATCATCAGAATTGTTCTTGATATTGGGTTGATCTGGAACAACCAAATTTTTGTCGCGAGTTTGAAACAATAAACGGGTAATATCACGTTTCGGTCTTTTCTCTAATTTTGCTTCAATATCAACAATTGCATCTTTATATTTCTCAGTAATTAATGCACCCAATTCTGAATGGACAATTGCTAGTCGTTGTCGGGATGAAAAACCAACGCCTTCAATTTTAATTTGATAACCCATTGCAGTCAAGCCATATTTTTCCAATATCTGATTAACTTGCCGCTGAGTAACCAATGTTTGGCGTTCTATAGAAGGATTATTTGTATAAAGTAAGATTTTAATTGTCTTTTTATCACCATATTCTCCCGCATGAATACGTTTTATAATTCTTTCAGTTGCATCTCGAGCAGTGGATGCTGTATTTGGTCGTACTTTGTCTTGTGCTAGTGTATCAATTATATTTATTTTATTTATATTGTTATCTAAATACGTTCTCAATAAATCCTCCGAAATGTGAGTTTCCGTTAGTTTTGACGTCTTGTTCATATCGTCATAATTGGCATAAATTCTGTTCGGAAAACGGCCCGGTGGACATTCATCTTTGCTTGCATACTGAATAAATGGTTTTGATGCATTCAGTTTTATATTATAGAATCGAGCCAAATGCATTATATATGCTTTGCCTTCCTCAATTTCAATAGAATCATCATCTGCAGATGATGAGAGACGTACCGTATTGATATCAATATTCTTTTCAGATGCTTCCAGTAATTTCTGACATAGTGTAGGTGTCATTCCATCGATATTGGCCCATACTTCTCGTTCACCAGCTAATACTAGTGTTTCACCATTTATTTTAATGGCTTTAGAATAAATATAGTATTTATAATCTATAATGCGTTGTGACAATGCCACTCGAGCAGCTCCCGCAATCCAACAACTATCGTATACGTTTAATGTAGGATACTCTCGATCAATGAGGCGTAATAAACGTGCTGCTTCAAGGTAATAATCTGCATAAGTAGTCATCCATTCAGGTGAAACAAGTTCGTATCGTTCTTGTGCAGCTTGTCGACCAAAGGCATGTTGAGCTATGTACAATAATAAGTCCAAAGCATCTTGTAAATCAATGTTATCACTTTTAAAGAGATTTGTACGCATGTATTTTGCATTGAACTTTGTTGGATCTGATTGATCAGCTTTAGAATATTTTACAACAGAAGATATCTCATCAAATACTTTTGTTACGTTTTCTACGTCTCCAATACAATTCAAATCGTGCCATATGTTTGATAATTTGAAATAGCCTGCTAATTGAAATATTTTCAACAAAGCTTCTTGTTGTTCTTCCATGCTGATCTTTTGACCATTGCTTTTTTCATAGCCTTTAAACCCTAATTTTTGTGCGGCTAACATGTACTTAGATGGTCTGATAGATTGTCGATAAGAATTATAAATAAAATATGCTAGTATTGTTAATATTGCAAGTCCACAACTAATGAATTGTATCCATGTTTCAAGCATATTGTTCCTACAATCAGAGAAACAGTTGTCAAGGTTTTTATATGAAAAGTGTGATAATTGAGTGCCAGAAATTGAAAAAGCACGGGACCGAATCGAAATCTAAATGACTTTTATCGAACCTAACCAAACTGAAACCAACTCTTCGCCTTTCGTGCTGGATTAGACTGACTTCGGTTCGTTTCGGAACTATCCCTAGAAATAGTAGTTCTAGTTGATTTTTGATACAATAGAACGGACTCTTGAACAAACACCATTTCAAGAACAACGAAATTTGAGAAAAAATTTTCAATGTCACATGATTGAAGTTAAGAAAAATTCTGAGTTAGACGAAAAAAGCGGTTTTGTATGTCGCTAATTCTGATACATATACATGTACAAAGAAATGTTCATACTTTTAACAAGTCAAAATCATTCAAGTAGATTTTATATGTATTCGAAGTATTCTGAGAAAGAGGATTTTTCAGATTTCTATCTAAGACGTGCATTACTTTTCGTCTTTCGTGACCACCTTTTATAACAACAAGCAAATCTCTTGAATGCAGATTTATTTGATGGAATACTTAAGGAAATATGGTGTTGATTCGATAATGGAGTACTCAATGCGAAAAAGCCAGTTTACAATAGTATCACTTCGAAATCGACTTCTTTTTTTTTCCTTTTTCATTGCATACTGTATGCTACTATCAGAATTATACTTATTTACCGTATGTACCTATAACGTACGATTATCTTTTTAATAAATTACGATTAATCGCTAATTTATTACGACTTCGAGAATATAGGTATTCATTTTATTAGAAATTTGAACATGGAATGATTAAGAAGTTCGATTGTTTAGTATGTTGCACTTACTTCAATAGTATTTCGACGAATCTAAAGAATTTTTTGCAATAGTCAACACATTATCTATTATGATGCACTTATTATTCATCGTCCTGTTTTTTTTCGTACTATTTTTTCTTCTCATCTTTCGCATTTGTATCGTTTCTTTTTTCCTTTCTATTTGCTTTTTTTTCTTCGATCGTATTTTTACTTTTTCTTTCTCGTTTCTTCTCGAGCAACAACCTTGTTATCATACTATTATCCTTTTCTCTTGCTTGTTCTTTAACTCTATTTCCATTATGTTTTGTAATCAGCCTCATAGTTACCATGATGATATTAATATTTACTCGGCAAGTTATAATAAAGAGAATACTACTTAAAATATTGAAAAACAACATGATTATAATGATTGCGATGGCGATGTTAATAGATGGATGCTACCCAACGAAAAATACATTAGATCGTACTCGATAACCAAGAATGATGTCAAGTAAAAGGCCTAAAACATTTTTAACAAATAATCAAAAAGATATTTTAAAGACTGTCACATCCGTGTTTTACAAGTTCTAGTTTCTAGAATTTTTCACGACGATTGAATATTTGACGATTTGAAGAAATAAATGGCTTCCATTGTTCGATATTCAAGTATAGAAAGATCGTTGTATTGATTGCCAACATTTAATTTCATGATAGGATTACACATAGAATGAAAAACAAAAAATCTTAGTTCAATCAGAATTAATATTAAACAAAAAACAAAATTTAAGAAAATATTAAGTCTTCTTTGTTAACAAAGAATTCTAATATTTTAAGTAAGTTTTACATAGAGACCAATTTCAACTTAACTTAGGCCTAGAGAAACGGATTACTCTATCGAGTAGCGTCTTTTAAATACGAGCTCCTAAATTTGCTGCCTGTAACGTTTACAACCTTAATTATAAGATGTTTTTTATGTTCACTCAATTTGAATTGAAAATCATGTTGGCAAAACAAACGAAATGGAAAAGAAATGCAACGTTGTCATTGATTGTATTCTTATTCTTTCCAACTTTCGTCTATTTTTCATCTGCATTTTGACTTAAGTATTGTTGTGTTTGATGCCTGACTTCATCATTGTTTGCTTTTCTCTGATCCTTTTAGAGCGATGTTCTCTCTTTCTGACATCAACGAAAAAAAAGAAACATCATAAGTTTCATTGTTTTTCATTATACTTCCGATGGACATTGCAAGGATGTGAATGATAGAAAAAGAAAATTCAACTTTAATTGTCAATCAAATAATGTTACTAAATATGTTTCATTGTTAATCATATTGCTATTAATGTGACGATTATTTCAAGTAAAGAAAGCTGCTTAAATCGTACTCCACTACCAGTGGACAAATCATACGCTATAGTTACTGAATTTGTTGTTCATTGACGAATTATTTTTTTCTCATCTTGATTATGGATGCCAGTAAGGCTGATACTATAAATACATCTTTATTTTTAAATTACTTAGAATAGTTCGGATGATTCTAATCCATATATGAAATATATTTCGAATAGAAAAGGAATCTTATGCAAAATTTTCTCAAAATATATTCTAATCATTAGTGTTCTGCTAGATATCTATCATTAATCCAAGTTCTTTTTGTAACGAGAAGGCAATGGTATGCTTATCATTACTTGGTTGTTAAACTTTCAAAAGCAGCTATTCATGTCTCAAGGAGACTTTGAGTTCATTTAAAGAATAGGAACTCGACTCACAACTGTGCAGACGTGAAATCATGCAAATTCTGTTTGTTTCCTAAATTAGTCTTCAAAAAATGTGTACTTATTTTATTCTCTTTCATTTTATTCAGTAAGACTACAAGATCCGAAGAAGATCAAGTATTTGATTGATATTAAAAATATTCTACGTGATACCAAATATAAAAACGACTAGGATGATGTTAGTAAAATTGTAGTCGATGTCATAGAAAAAAAAATGCATTGACACGGAGGAATAATATTAATAATTTAATAATTTGTTTCAATTCTTTTTGTATGAAGTCTGACAAAATCTAGTTTTTATGATTTACTTTATCTTGTGAAGGTTAGAAATCATCTAAAGATAAGGAATTATCATATGTTCAAGTACGAAATCAATGGTATAGACTATTAAAAGAAGCAACAGATCAAATTGAACTTAAGGTCAACTGTGTTGATGAAGGCCACATTCGCGCTTTAGACCGAAGAAACGAGTATCTTCTTGACGTAGACCAGGTTCCCAAGGTCGAGTAGTATGAATATCTCCAATCGAAACATAACCTTTTTCCCAAAGTGGATGATATGGCAAATTGTGTCGTTTTAAATACATGTCAACATCGCTATCAGTCCAATCAGCTATTGGATGCACTTTCCATCGGCCATTTTGACGTTCGATAATGCGAATTCGTTGGCGACTTTCAGATTGATTGCGACGTAGACCAGCAAACCAAGTTTCAACACCAAGATTTTCTAGAGCAAGTTGCATTGGCTTGATTTTTACTAGATGATTGTAAAGATCGATTCCATCTAAACCTTTTTCCCATAAACGACCATGACGTACTTCAAGCCAAGCAGCTGAAATCTCTGGACGCAATACATTAAGATTGAGTTGTAAACGTTCATGTAATTGATCAATGAAACTATAGGTCTCTGGAAAAAGGTAACCTGTATCTATGAGTAATACTGGAATATCAGGTTTCTGTGCTGTCAATAAGTGTAGCGAAGCTGCAGCTTGTGCACCAAAACTTGATGATAGGGCATAGGTGCCTGGTAATTCACATAATGCCCAAGTCACACGTCTCTCAGCAGTTTGAGTCTCCAACCATCGGTTCAACGTGTCGAGAGCACTTTCATTCATCAGTGCCTCGGCTACAGTGCATGGTGCACCGATTGAATCAGTTCGCAGTGAATATGTCAATTTTAATTGAACTTTTTCGTTCGATTGATTGATTCCATCATTTGTCTGCTTCTTTTTTTCACTAATATGAATATCGTCTTCATATTTATGATCATTTATGTCAACTTCTGATTCGATTTGACAATATTCTCTTGTTTTTTGTTCGTTTGCATTCAGATAATTGATCATTTTATGTTTCTCTCCTATTTCGAATTGATGAATATCTTGTTGTAATTGATTTTTATTTTCAACTGTTTTATCAGCGAAATATAAATCGCCATTCGAAGTTATGATTGGTTTAATTATTTCTACGTCTAATTTAGCATTGTCAAAATGTTCTAGAATGAAATCAAATTCTTTTTTAATTTGTTCAATTTTATCTTGCTTTATATCGTATTGTTGTTTAAGGTTGATTATACGATTTATGATTTTGTCAACTTGCTGTAAAACACGCAATTGTGTACTACGAATTTGATTGTATTGTTGATTTAGATATGCAATTTGTGTATCTTTTTCTTTAATTGTATTCATCAATTTTTGAATTTCGATATGGGATGATTCTGTACTAGAATTATCTTGAGTGAACAAATTTGATTTCGTTTTTAAATCGTCTTCGTTCTTCAATAACATTGAGTGGAACGATTCTTCTTCATCAGTACTACGATAGAGTTGACGTTTGTTTGGAGTTGTTGATCTTAAGAGATCTTTTTCAATCACGTTTTCGACACGAGCCACAGAAAATAGGAAACCATAAAGTTGTTGATCAGCCAATTGTCGTCTTTCAATAACATTTTCATTGCTTTTATTCCATGTATCATCGATAAGATGCATTTTACCGATATATTTGAGAATAATATGTTTCTTTTGACTAGTTACTAATCGATTTTGTTCATTTTGGCTTGTCAGATTGTTTATTGTAGTATTGATACAGGTATCATGGATTGCATCTGGTACTGAACTCACTTCTGATTCAACTCCTATACAATGAAATCATTGATTGCAATAATACACTTCTCACAGATCTGTAGACAAGCAATAATTTCTATTTGTTGATGATAGTGGTGGCGTAACCATCAGTGAGACTAAGCCTCAATAGTGACGAAATCCCAGTTACACCGCTAGACGATAGCTATATGTATCAATGAGTGACAATGGTTTTCCAAAAGTTGAAGAAAAAGCTCATATGTTCTCGGCTCTAATATAACTGATATCGATCTAATAACGAATTTCTTCTCGATATTCAACAATGGCTTTCCAGTATTTGCATAGCTAAGATGGAACCTAGTGAAGGCTACAAAGTCTCAGTTCTTCCTCCATAGATTCTTTAGATATGGGAAAAAGATATATCGAGCTTCTTCAAAAATTAAAAGAAGGGATGGTAAACTACTTCTATAAACTAGGGGGTGATAAGTTGTTGTTACTAATTATTATTAATAACAATATATTCTCACTTTGTCTAAGAGTAAGTAGGAACATCAGTGGCCTAGTCAAGAGGAGAAAAGAGACTCTGGTTCCCTTCGAGAAAATTTTCTAAAATTAAACTTCTGCTTAATCGATCACAACAAAACAGATCGACACGTTACTTTGAAATAAGGCGAACTTCCAAATTTTTGGATTCATAACTGTGCGAATTTTTCTTTTGTTTTGGACGATGAACTTTAGTTTTGAAATGAATATGAAATTCTAAATTCTAAGTCTAGTTTGACCTATTATACGATGCGATAAGGTGTAGTGAAGATCGTCGTTTAAGATTAAAGCAAATGGAATAAATCATTCTTCAGTTTAGTGAAAAATACGACGGATGACTCTGTAGCATCTGGTATAAACGAGATTAGTGAAGTTAGAAAGTCATATTATTTGATGAATCTCGTTGAACAGTACCTTCAAGAGATCGATTATGATTAGTGTCAATGCCATTCTCTAGAAAATGTTGCGATCGAATAAGATGATCGAAAAACGAATGGTTGGACTCGCTTTCAAAACCAAGAACATCATAAGTTGATTGATCTAAAGAAAAAATTCAATGAAAATCTCCAACATTCATAACATCATATTCATCTACCATTGGTACTTTGTGATTGATCGAGCAAAAATGTAATCAATTGACCTAGAATCTTTGAAATGAATACAAAAAAAAATACACTCGAATGATTCACTATACCTTCTTTAAATGTAGTCGAGTCAACATGTCCCTTTACCTCGGATTTGTATCCATTGGTTATGACTCGATCATTGTTTTTCAATAGAGCAACAGATGAATCTTCGCTATTGAGAACATTTTTCATCATTGGTTTTTGTTGAAAATGTAAGTTCGATTCGAAATTATTTGTAATCGATGTCAAGTACACTTTGAAATGATTCAATTGAAAGAGAATCTGTTGTCGCTTTGCTCATATATAAATACTATCAATGATAAAATCTAGTAAAAACAGTCGATCATTTCAAGAGCCGATTCTCAACTAAGATCAGAGAGATAATTGGAGTTATATTACAAAAAAAATGAATTCTGCCCTTTACCTATGATAAACAGTGTGTTCCTTGAACATCTGTTCTTCCTATACTAGGGTTTTCGATATTGCATTTATTTTCTCTTGTCTAAAGTGCGTAAGACATTTTGATTGTTTTTCCAGTAAATTTAGAACATAGTATCTCATCGATTGCAGCGTAATGAACTAGAGTTCTGCAGAGTAATCCTATCCTGCTCTGCTCTATAGGGTAGGCTAGAGTAAGAATGGCGAAAACATTTTAGAGTGAAGATTAAGGTTTCGCTGTATGTTTGTCCTTTTCCCTTCAACTTTACTGATCTACTAACGATGGACATCAATTCATAATGTACTTAGATGCATTTTCTGAGTAATTTGAGAACGAAATCATCTAGTGAAGTGCGTAGTTTGCGTCATTTGATTCTTATACTAGCCGATGCTTCATATTTTCATCCCTATAATGATGAAAATTAACAGCTTCTAATTACTTTTATGTTCTGAAGTTGTTCAAAAAGTATTGAAACTAACCGTAGGATAGGGTGAGGACAAGAAAATCTCTGTAGGGTAGAGCATAAGCACATGAGCATGTTGAACACCAAAACAAATGTATGTTGTCCAGGAGAGTGAGAATTATAGTTTTAAAAAATTCAAGCCTGAACGACCAGTGCTGATAAAGATAAGTACAGCTTCTAGATTTCTTTTGTTTCGTCGAATTTCGAAATTGAAAACAAAATTATAATTTGAAAATGTTGGAAATCTATGTGAAATTCGATAATCCCAAAGTTGTCTGTCTTCGTTTAATGCCAAGGAAGAGATAAAGAAATTCCTTTTTTTTCGATCTTCTTGAATGAAAAAATAAATTAGTTGACAAAATCTGTATTCAAACAGAATTTTTCTTTCTATGGGAGCTTCCAGGATTAATTTTAGAAAAGTAAGATTTGTTTGAGATGCTACGTTTAGTGTGCAGATGTTGAAAAACAGAAAAAACACTTATGTAGAGAAACGATAACTCTACATGATATGTGAAGAAAAGTTATAAAAACTAGAAGTCAAAAGTGAAAAAGACTGGTCTCATTTACCCTAGCTGACCCTACTAGTAGGACAGTGTAGTAATGCCTATCAGATACGCGTGTTCAATTCTCTACAATACTACAATTCCTCTGGAGTAACAAAATAAAACGAGAAAAAACGCATGTAAAATCCACTCATCTATCAGATATTATAACCATGACGATAGATCAAAAGACACACGCAAATCGTGTTTACCTGATGTTTTACTATGATCGATTTCGTACAAGTAGTCTTGAATGTGCATGCTATATAAACGTCATCAACATATCTTAGATGAATAAGCATAAAGAAAGTATGAGGGCGGCTAAATTTTTTCCTTTCATACTAATGAAAACTGGTAAGAAGAAATGACGAAAAAAAACGAAGAAACTAATCGTTCACACGTGCTCTGCATACATCGATCTGATAAAAAAGAAGAGAAAAAAATATGTCCTTAACCAAAAAAAAAAAAATTAAGAAAGACAGCGCTACATAATATTGTCCAAACCATATAGAACGAAAAAGGCAAAAAGAGAGAGAGAGAAAAAGCAATAGAGAAATTAATGAAGCGCAACGTGTGTGTGTCAAAATAAATCGTTTGCCAGACGCATAACGAACACTTTTTGGTGTCATTTTCACGCCAAGCTAAAGAGTAAGAGTATTGAATAGAACAAAAATTCGAATCGTACTTGTCAAATTCTACGAACTATCAGTTTTGGTTTAATGCCAAAATTAACTATGATTAACGGTAACATTTTAACACATTAAAGACAAAATCTGGCTGTATTTGACAGTTTATTTGAACTGTGAGTGGCTTAATGAGTATTCATATTTTCTTGTATCCCGTTTTTAACAGTGAAAATATATTATTTTATAAGTTTTAATATTCACTAATGCTAAACTTTTTCTGTACATGCTTTTTTTTTCACTGTTTATCATGTTCAAGATTCTCTCAAGTAGAAATATAAACTATTAATAATGGTGAAAGATGAAAGTCTAATAGTGAATCTTGCACCATAGAAAATCATTGTTGATAGTGAAAAGTATATGTGCAGAGTCAGTATCGGAGTATCTATTCTCGATTGTTTAGTAGAAACAGAGAAGATTCAGAGAAATGAAGAAGCATATCGAATATTCATTGATTTTTATTTCAAATAGGAAAATAAAAGATTTCAAACATTATTCACATCTTTGATAGAATTGATACGTGTCAAACATTTATAACAAGTATTTTGAATATGTGGATCATGACACAGAGTTTTAATAAACACTTCGCATAAATCGACTATCACCTTGCTAAATACTAATAAAATGGTTAAACAGGCAATACGTCGTGGAAAATCATATTGTTTATTTGTATAGAATAATAAGTGTTTCAAGTCATTTTCATAGTCACAGTCCTTTATGTAAGCAATACTGTTGTTTTATGTCAAAAAATGATTGAGATATGGTCGTGACAAGGCGGAAATAGAGTTTGATCTATAAACCCCACTGGACGTCAAGCAATCGAGGGTGGGTTGATGCTTGCGATCCGCGCTCACTCAAAATATTAATCTAAAATCATAAAATCTAGAACCTAGCGTCACCTATCCGACATGACGCCTTATTTTCATTAGCAGGACTCTCTTGAATGATCTTGAAATTTCCAGATTCCTTATTACAGTAAAATACTATTTTTCATCACGCCATCTCAAAAATAGGGTTTTACTACCCTGAAGTTCGTTACGATTTTCTGGAATATTTCAAAAAGAAGACCATTTTTGCCAAATACTTTTTCTGAAAAAAATCGTCAACTGAATGTTGGTTTGTTTAGAAAGACTACGATGATTCTTAAAAATGTCCAGTTTTATATTAAATGTCACACCGCTTTTTTAATTTTGCAGTGCCAATTTCTCACAAATGCGTAAATCATTTAACCTGGAATTTACACTCTTTTTTTGTCCATCTGATGAATCTTTTCACATGAAGGTGTGAATATGTGTGATGAGAAGATATCCACACCCACACCCTTATTCAGCCGTCGAACGAATTAAGATTGGTGGTGAAACTTTCTTATCGGTGGTATCGAAATGGGTGCCAGTCTTCTTGAAAAATATCCAAATCCTGAATTTTCCAAACTAACGTTGGATTAAGAACAAAAGAAGAAATCATGAAGACTGTTGCAAAATATAACGAAAAGGAATTATAATTGATTCATTCGATGTTGGAGAAGATTTTGATGCAGCAATTATGAAAGGCATTGCTCAAGGTGGATGTGATGAATTCTTTTTCCTTTCGGCCGAAGTCATCGTAGACTTAATGACAAAAGGACTTCAGAGTGTCTTTGATGTTTGTGGAACATAAGCTAAACTAGTTATTCGTGGTCGTAATAATACAATTGTAAGAAAAGTATGGGGCCATGAAAACACTGCACGTGGTGGAATTCTTGACAACCTTCATTGATTATCAGTTGAAATATAATCTTTCTGGTAATTTTGAAGGTGAACCATTAATTGCTACTGATCAGCTATCAGTAACAGTCACCAATGACGAATCATTCATTCAACAATTCGATCCAAAAGTTAGAACCTTAGATGCAGTTCAAGTTGCAGGAGAAATGATTGACAGAATCGCTCAACTAATACAGAGTCATGGAAGACATGAATCTATTGCATTAATTACTGAGCACATAGCTCTCCTTAAACAATGACCAAGCAGTAAGCGCAAAAGCTGCTGCTCGAGAAAATATAGTCATCATGATTGTATGAAGAAACATCATGATTACAAATATACCAACTACTACGATGAAGATTAATTCGAAAGCATCGATTTTTTTCAACCGCAATTATGACGAGAATCGATTCAGATTTACATATTATCTGTACTTTATAGTTAAACGTATGATTATTACCTTTGTATTTCCTTCGTTGTCAATTTCAATTGCATATAATAACATACAGTAATGTTCTTCTACTATCAAAAAAAGATTTATTTTTCTTTCAATAAATTATTTGAATCAAGGCGAAATGTATCAAGCGATTACTGCAGGACATGAGAGATAGGTGTTCGCTAATAATCTATACGTTCAAGCTGAAGCGATCGATGCTGCTCTCATCGAAAAAGAGATCTGTTGCGGCAGTTGTGTGATTGATCTGATAAATAAAATAAATGATGTCAAAATATCGACAGAACTACCAGAAATAGAAAAGCATTAACTAAACATCTTCGCGTATGAGAAGCGATGACAAGTTGTACACGATATTCGATTTCCAACACTTAGCATTGAGTGAAAAGTGTTAGCGTTGTTGAGAATTTGTGTCAACAGTGGGTATCTGACGCTTCTGTTTTAGCAGGCTCTTGATTTGTCAATGTCTATTACGAACTCAGAGCATCACTCATACCAGAATCTAACACTACGTGGATAGGCCGAGAATTTGAATCTTGTTGGATGAGTATATGACTGCGGATACGGATATCAGTTAAGAGAAGACTACCAACTACATTCACACTAAAACCTTTTCTCCTTCTCGTACTGCTGCATCATCATATGTATTTTTGACTTCGAATTTTCTGTAAGCTGTATAATCTGTACTCAAGCATTTTTATACTTGTTCTTTTTCTTCTTTGTAAAAGCTAAATAATATTCAATATTGTTTTTTTTTGTTGACTTATCAATGGAACAATAAATCTCTCATTGTCAAAACAAAAGAAATAGCGATAGATAACACGAGAAATAAAAATAATATTATACGTCGTTATTGACTTATCGAATTTCCTGTGACCTTTGTCTTTATCTGAGTTAAACATCGGATGTAATTCGATTTGCGCAGTACAGTGCAAACAGTGAAAGTGAGTGATTCATCAGATAGAAGATATAAAAATTGGTGTATATGGCATTCTGTTCTCATTACTGCTCGTTTCAACAACATAATCAACACAATATGAAGACGGCGACAACGTCAATACTTTTGTATGTGAAGCTGTTTCTGTTTAGTTTGATATTTAAATTGACCAGCACGGCAGTTATTGATCTGACGAAAAGTGATGATTTGGAGCATGGTACGTTGCAGAAACAATGGTCAGAACCTATCTCAGAAATCATCGAGAAAAAACTAGATTATGTGAATCCAATAACATCGTTTCGACAACATCAAAGGGTCGCAGAGACGAATAACAGGAAGACTGAACACATAGTGCAGAAAAGATGCGATCATGGATGTCGGTCTTCACATCATCATCACCATCACCATCACCGTCGTCGTCATGGGTCGAATCCATACCCTAGTCCTTTGGGAAATCCATATCCTGGTCCTTTGGCAAATCCATACCCTGGCTCTTGGTTTAATTCATATACTGGTCCTCGGCTAAATCCAAATCCGATTGGAATCCCACCTTTTCAACGACGATATAAGCGATCATTATCAATATTTGATGACAACAGGAGAAGTAAGAATTTAGCTAACAATGCTAAGCAGTGGCAAGTGGAACAAAGGTTCACTGATCGTGCTCGTGAATCTATCAAATCACACCAGGTAAGTTATATCAATATAGACTGTTGAAGTCCGATCTGCTTTTTGACACTCATTGTTTAGCCATTGCATGAAATTAACAGCTATGATCGTCAAGGTTATTTCGACATACCGACATTATTAACTGACAAAACTGACAACCAAATGTTAGTTAGTATTGATGAAACTCTTGATAAATCTTTTCAAACTGCAACAAAGGTATGTTTGATTAATACTGAAAACCATTTTTAGTTTTCTTTTCTCTATTTTTATCTAGGATGAAAGCAACAACCAGCTTTGAAGTAAAGCATTGAAGTGAACTGTGGGATTTTATTTCCAAAGTGGCATCAAATATTATTCTTTTTCATACACACGAAACATATTCCTATAGCCCAACTTTGCTAAGCTTTTCATCTACTTTTATCACACAATAATAAATAATATGTAATCACGGTCATTTTCCAACAGAGCTAACAATAAAATTGATATATGTGAAACCGCAATAAAAAATCGCACAACCATATATCAAAGTACTCGAATAGCGCATGCGTATACAAAATTTCTTGAATGATCGTGCTAGTAAGTGGTACTTGTCGAATGAGTCTTTTCATCACAATCAGACTTCATGACTTCAAAGAAAATTCGACCACACTTTAACAAAATATGATTATTTTCAAAATATAGCTTTTCTTTGATAAAATCATCGATTTTCTATTCACTTGTTGCCGTCATCTGTTATTGCATAATCGTTATTTTTTCTGATATTAATCATCGGATGAAGTAGTTGGCAAATAACAGTAACTCTCTTTCTTCTAATATATCCTACCTTTATCATTATATTAGTTATTTATCTATTTTTTTAAGACAGACGAAAACTGTTCTTTATTCTTTACTTTATGTTGATCCTTAAAACTGAAGATTTTATTTGATTTTCTTTTATAATTATAATGATTAAAATTATAGTTTTTATTATAAAGAACAAGAAAAATAAAACGACACTCCTAATAATGATATTGATCGTCATACCAGTTGGTATTCTAATCATCGTCGCGCAAATTATCGTGTCAGTTACGCCAGTCGGTAACGTTCATATAGCATGCGGACAAGTCATAAAAATCCTGTCAGGTCCTAGGTTCGCGGCTACAATGTATAGTGTGGCCTTCTTTAGTTGATCAAACAATGCAATTTGTTTTATCCTTACGATGTAGTAGTAGATGACCATCGTCTTCGAGCATCAAGCGACAGCCAGACGTATAGTGATGTGTACCTGTATTCCACATGTGCTGTTTCCCTGCGTCATAAACTACAACATTGTTATCCCATTGCATCTTCAGTACAAATGGACTCTGAACATTCGACTATTCTGTATTGAACGTTGATTTCCACAGAGGTCCATCCTGTTTATCTTGTTTGTAAATTGCCATGTGTCCATCAGATTGCAGTGTTAGATAAAATTGTCCATTAGATGACACGATATTTTCACCAACATGAAGTTCTTCTTCCTTTGCCAAACTTAACTTGTCAGGCAAACTCATTATTTTAGTCGTTGACTATGAGACTCGATGAAGCAAAAAAACGATGCACACTGTATTCTCAATACTGTATATATGTATGAAAGAGAAAAAAAGAAAACGTCTATCAATATGCACATATCGTATGCTTAAGCATCCATGACTTGCATTTTTACACAGTAAAAAAAGAGAGTAGTGGACGAAGTATAATCATCGGTTGCGCAATACATAAATTTAATTTCTCCCTTTTTCACCTTAATAACGTACTTTTAATAAAAAAGTTGTCATTTACTGAAGATATCCTCTGTTGAGTGTTTTAGCATTTTTTTTTACTATCCAAATAATCTATCTATCGAGTAGTTTTCTTGTGTCTACTAATAAATTTTACCTGCTTTTTCAAATTTTAATCATATAAACAAAGAAAATTGAATAATGTGCTAATCGATAGCATGATCTTGATGCTTTTTCTAAAACTATATGTGGACTCACTTGATTCTTAGAATTATTAATTAAAAAGTCAAATGTGCTGTTACTAATAAATATTCGTAGACTTTTTTTGTCTTAATCTTGTATGGAATTGCAATAAACGCGCTTTCACCCATTGAGATAAATGAGTAGGATGTCTATTTTGCATTCTGGATTGATTAAAAATAGCATCAATTGGGACAAAAAAATTGATCAACATTGTCATTCTTTTATAAATAATCTTTTTTATTGATGTGACACTAACAACAAATAGAACATATTTTTTGTTCCGATCTCAGACTAGTTTATTCGTTACATACTTGGGATGATTTCACAATTTTAATCCCCAGTCAAGAAAAATCGTTAATTGATTATCTTTGCTCGTACTGGCGAAAATTTTCATTGTATTTGAAATAAGTCAAAAGAAGTAATGTTTTATCAAAACACATAAACAGCATATTTAGTTTCTTTACCTTCTGATAAGAGTTGATAAATCGCATCGAGACGTGTTTGCAAAAGACTCTTTCATCCTCATCCTTTCAGATTTGGAAGATTGAAAAATTCTCTGCCCAATGAGTTAGAAATGAATTTTGTGTTCTTCCCAAAAGAAATTAATAATGCATCATTTTCTATAAGTCATCCATTCAAGTCGTCTTTAGACACATTATTTTTGCATTCGATGTTTACATTGGCATGTAGTGAGAAATTTTAAGATATCATTCCAACTAATTTGGTGAAGAACTTATTAATTCAATCAATTGTTAAATATCATCAAAAACATGTGTTTCTATCCCGGAATAGTACCAAACCATTATACGAAATCTTTCTGTAACAGAACGATCAAAATCAAAATCGAACGAAATTCCAAAAATCACATGTGTGATGAAAATTTTTCAGTTCTGTCTTTTATTCGATCCATTCACGTATTATAAACTATTTATTATGGCGTGTGGGTGTGTTATAAGTTAAAGAATAATCAATTAGCTAGCAAGACCGGTTTCGATAAGTTCTAAAATTAAACTTATCAATTGCTTTTTTGATTATAAGATATTATAAATGATAATTCTCCTATTATGAATGTAACAGTCAGAAGTTTCATAAAGGAAACTCCTAATCTAATGACACTCACATTGATATATTATCGAGTAGATTGCATGAGAACAAAGTATCCGACAAAATTGTGAAGAGATTCTCCAACAATAGGAAGTGTGGGTGTGGGTGTGGAGGCTAATTTTCTTTTAGCAACAACACTCACACCCACATCCTTAAAAAGAAATTCAAATTCATAAGGAATCTGATGCAGTGTTTTCACGAGGAATTCGAATCTGTAATTGGTTTTAGAATCCGAGTGAAAAGTCATAAACTATTATTGATATGTTGATGAAATACCGCATTCATTTTTTGAAAAAAATGTGAAAATGTGTATATAGTATCTTGTTCATATCTTTTCGAAACTAGGGTCTAAACTTAAAAATTTTATTACCAAAATGATCAGTGCAAAAAGCTCTACAAATTCTGAAAGTTAGAATGAATTCGGAGGTGATTGCTGAAGCAGCTGAAGAAATCCGATGGAATCACCCATAACTGGAAAAAATTTTAAAGAAGAATTTTTATCATGCTTCAATAATATTCGATTTTTAAATGTCAATAAAAAAAATGCTAATTGTAATATAAGATAAATTTATCTCGATCACATTAAGAGTGCCGGTAGAAAAAATACACAAAAAAAAATATACAAATTAGACACTGCGTTGGCAAAAGTATTTAGAAAAATAAGTATCGAAATGTTGAATATCAAACGTTTTTGTACAGTAGGCAATGTACTGATCAGGTCGAATAAGAAAGCCGGCACCCTCCGAGCTCTTATTCACGCCAAAAACATGAAAAATTTCTTTTGTATCTTCAGAATATTGAAATTCGTGTACTTTAATCAAATGTGAATAATAGTCTTGGATAAATTTAACAAATAGAAACAATTTGTTGGAACTAACTCTTTTTGGATTAACTAGGACGAGTAGATGGAAGTAAGTTCGGCTATCATCACCATTATTTGTCGATGCCGAGGACAATAAATTATCAGAATGAGTGTAGACGTATGGCATTCGATCACCCGCCTGAACTTTGTCTTTTTTTGAGTCTCCGTCTCCTACAGAAAATGCACTGTGATGATACTGAATTCCAATCATTGAGATACGTCTGAAGAAAGCATCCCGAAGAAACGAAATGTAATTAAGCAAAGGAGAGAGAATATACTGATAGAGATATGGCAAGATGTTGAGTCTGATAAATCGAAGAATATAGTGAGAACTTGTCATAAATGCAAAGACACGATCAGTTGAGCGAACGACATCTTTTGCTACGCGAATTCGTTCATCATTATAAGTTTTCAATAATTCGTTATTGTTTACTGTTTTTCCTTGAACAGTAAAGGCAAGTTTCCAAGCTAAATTAAAGGCATCCTGAAGGCCTGTGTTCATACCTTGACCGCCGACAGGAGAATGAATATGTGCTGCATCGCCCAGTAGAAAATATTTATTGTGAAGCGAAAATGCTTCGACATAGCGATGATGTGTTCGGTAAGTTGTCATCCACAATGAATTGTACAAGTGAATTCTTCTTTCCAGATGTTGACTAATACACGACTGGATATCTTCAAATTGCAACTGTTTTGAAGATCTTAAAAGTTCATGGGGAACAGTGCCGATAACACGGTATCTATTATCATTTTCATGGCCCTTCAATGGAAATAGAAGACCTATGCCAGATTTTGTTAGATTGAATTGTATATCATCCGTTACTGTTCCACTTTTTTCCTCATCCAAAAACTTCACATGGCAATCAATCACAAAAAGGGTTTCTTCATAGGTATTACCGGGAAATGATAATTGAAGACTTTGTCTAACTTTCGAATGAGCACCGTCACAGCCGCATAGATATTTCGTGCGGATTTTGATCAATTCTCCTTCAATAGTGTCACGATAATCTTTGATTGTGCATTCAATTAGTTCGCTATTGACATCATCAAGTTCATGGAAGCTAATCAGTTCACATTGTCGATCTATTTGAATACGACGCTTAAGGAGGAAATCTTCAAGTAATTCTTCAGTTTTTGATTGCTCCAGAATGAGTATATATGGATATTTAGTTAAGTTTCGTGTTCGTAAAATATTCATATCCACTTCCATTCGCTTTTTTCCATTGAAAAATCCGCTAAGACCCTTGACAATTTCACCACGACGAACAGCTTCATCTCCAATTCCCAGTTGATCGAAGATTTCTAGAGAACGAGCATGGACGGCTAGCGCACGCGACTGAGTTGTATGAT